AACCTAAAGGTGCTAATGATGCAGCACAGTCCAAAGCAGCTGGTAAAATAGTAACATTACCAGAGACCAATACTGTGGCGGATGGGCTTCGAGCTTTTCTTGGAGATCTTACTTGGTATATAACTGCACTTAAAATCATGGTGTTATCTAACTGGTGCATTTAGTTTGTCTTTGATTTGACTTCTTTTGTTTCCCATCATTTCGTGCATGGGACATTACTACCTGTCCTTGATTTATTTCATATGCCTTTGATTAATAGCAGATTTTTTGTTCGTGTACCAAAACTTACATTTGATAATTTACTCTGCCTTTTAATTGGAGCAGGCCCGTAGTACGAGATTTTGTAGATGATGTCATAACTGTGGAGGACAATGAGATAATAGAAGCCATGAAACTCTGCTATGAGATTCTGAAGGTTGCTGTTGAACCTAGTGGAGCAATAGGTTTAGCTGCGGTTTTATCTGATAGTTTCAAAGAAAATCCTGCTTGGAAGGATTGTAGCCACATTGGAATTATCCTCTCTGGAGGTAATGTAGATCTCGGTGTCCTATGGCATTCATTCAAAAGATGAGAATTATCTACTTGATTGTTCTTGAACTATCTCTTTGTATGGCACTAACGCTAACTTTAAATGACAAAGTAATAAAATCCATTCAGAGATTTTTATCTGCTATAAACTAGCGACTGACAGATAAACTTATTGTACGTTTTAGGCATACAAATTTAGTGAAAGTTGTGTACAATCTCTGATCTAACCCAAAGTTTCTATTGCCTTAAAGGGGGTTGTTTGAGGTCAATTATAAGCATATGAAATAACTGATGTAGCCTTCAGAGCCAAAAAAAAGGGAAAAAAAAAAGAGTAACTGATGTAGCCAAATACTATGTTCATTTTTGGTCAACCGTCTGAGCTTCCTATAACACTGTTATTAGTCATGGGATAACGTTAGCAAATCTTCTAATGCTGTTGAAGATCTTATGTAACCTATGGTTTGTACCAGACCAGTTCTGGCCTATTCAGTGAGTATGATTAGTATGTATATGACAAATCCGGGCAAGGAAGCCTTGAATTGGTTAAAGGTAATTCTGAAGTTGGTTCTCTTTATGGTAAAGCAAAGAACGAAGATAGAGAAGTAATTAGTTATGTAGATTCATACTATACTGGGAATTTGGACTATAGGAGATTGCTCGCGGGATATGACTTTAAGTTCTATGGTTGTGCAGTCAGTTGCAAGGCCAACCAGTAGCATGTAGTTGCATTATGAAACACTGAAGCGGAGTTAATTGCAGTAATGGAGGCAATCAAAAAATGAGTTTGGCTGAAGGGATTCGTAGAATATTTGAAAAGGCCATGAAAGGACTAAACATATAGATGCGGGGGTGTAGGCGAGACAATCCCAATACAGTAAGTTCAGCTGAAGTGTGCATAAAAGAAAACCCCAAGAGACATGAATTCTATTGCTCTACCATCTTCAAAGTTTAAGCATTGCTCGGACTTGCTTCAAGTCCAAGCAGAATGTTAGCCCTAAAGAAGGGGCAGCAACAGTGTATGAAGCTTGTAACATGGTCAAGGTAGAGAATAGTCACAGATATCAGTTTGTCATCAGTTTGTGCACAAGATATCAGTTGCTGTGCTTGATAACACGCCTTGATTAATTGGCAGATACAAAATTTACCTTCCATGTTTTACACTCTGCCTCTTCGTTGAAGCAGGCCTGTGGCAAGAGATTTTGTCGATGATGTTGTAGCTGTGGACGACAGTGAGATAATAGAGCCATGTTATATTATAATTGTTTTAGTGTTATCATGTTATACCAAAAAGTTATAAGTCCGTGCAAAATATATTATGACCCGTTCGGTTCGTTAATTCGAGTTGAGATGTGATGTTATGTGAGAGTTTTTTACTGTAGCAAAAAAATTAGATGTGACTGTTTCTGAGAACTTTTTATTGTAGTAAAACTTGAATTCTAAACTTGAATCAACAAAAAGAACGGGGCCTATATTTATCGTATTATATTTATCATACTGTGCGACCGCCGTACTTAAGACAACGCCTACTATCTTGGGAACGTTAAAGTCGTTGAATTTTGGCCAACCCCTTGCAAGTTATTGGATGAAGTTAGCAAGTCCAAATAAGAAGTCTGCTTTAGTATGACATAAAGTGGTGTACAACTCTCTAGTTCAACTATATTAGCAAAGCCTCTCCGGCCAAAATGCCACATGTAATCACTCCGATTATCAAATATCTTTAAAGTATTTGAAGTTTCTTGTGAGGTTTGTCAAGTTTGAGGGTTGGATTTTTTCCTTTTATTCTTAATGAAAAATCTGTCTACTTTGGGGCCTATGAAAGTGTCTTGGGGGGTCTTTCTTATTCCCGTGATATAATTTTCCTTCAACGTGCAAATGCGTTTTACAATATGAGTGACAGATTGTAAAGGCCACAAGACTAAGAGAAAAAGACTAAGAGAAAAAGAGAAAAAAGAGAGAAAAGTCAAAAGAACTCTATTTTCGTCAGCCTTCATGTTCTTGACCTATACCTATACCATATATAGTGGTCTTATCTGCCATTGAATTAAATTCTTCCAATCTACCAAGTGGACTCAGAAGTCGTGTCGCTTACCATTTAAAAAGCTTTTTTTTTTTTTTTTTAAATATAATTTTTACATATTTTTACATTGTAAGTCGCTAATGTGTCCCATGAAAGCACCTAGAGAAGTAAATAATTAGCTAAACGCACTTGGTAAAAAGGGGAAAATAAATGAAAGCTTTGGAAAGTTTGAAGAATTATTTACATTGTTGCGCCCTGAATTTATCTGTGTTTTTTCTTTGTTGAAAAAAATTTAAAATGTGATATACAATTAAACTTTAAATTTTAACAAATTAGATCCTAAATTTATTACAATTATGGCCTAATAGCTGATAAATGTCTACTATGAAAAATGTTCCACAACTTTTACACAGCACACACTAGAATCTTTTTGTTGGTTGACAAGTCAGACCCTAGTTTATTACTCTTGCATTTAAGACCCTATTTAAGTGTATTTTATTAATTGACACCCCTTTGCCCTTTCTATTGGACTATATGTCAAGAAATATACACAACTCTAGAGTTCTAAATATCAAGATTGAAAGTTGAGAGTCCAACTAGAGAATTACAAGAAGTTTAGAGGTCAATACTGTAAATTACCCTTTTTATTTGGACATGAAATTCTTGAGTTCAGATTCTCCATAATGGCATTATTTAGGGCTCGTCTATTTTACCGATTCGAGTTTTTAATTTTAAGTTTTTATAATAAAAAACTCTCAAAAAATGTCACATCTAACTTTTTTTACTACAGTAAAAAACTCTAAAAAAATATCACATCTTAATTTGAATTAAAAACTCGAATCCGCAAAGTGAATGAGGTCTTAATAAGTGTGGTTAATTTTCTCGTAGGCGCTCTAATAGATTAATGTGGACTTGAGAAGAATGAAATGATCTCCTAATTAAGGATATTAGACAAATTAAGAATCTAGTTCCTGCATGTTTCTCTTTTTCTGATCTGAATATCTGAGAGTTGTCCTATTCCTGTCCTTCATCATAGTACACGTAATCCATGATTCATATTAAAATTGTCTATATATAATTGCCGCTGCAACATAAATTCACTCATTTATGACCAAATAAACCGACACGCATCTACCCCACGGCCACAACCATGAAAGCTACATAGTGATCTTCCTTCACTCATAGTTGAGAGAAAAAAAAAAAATAAGGAAAAGAAAGAGACATCTAAAGATTGTAAGACCACAAAAACTATATTAGACATTGCAAAAACCATATTGTTAAGCATAAAAAACTTAGGATTAGAGCCCGTTTGATTGGAGGATTTGTTCACTGATTTGAATTATGATTCATAATTCGCTACAGTATTTTCTCTCACAAAAAATACACTTAAATTAAAAATGGTTATAATCTCATAATTTTAATCCATGAATCAAACAAGCTCTTAGTTTTTACTTGTCTGTTATCACAATTTTCCGCTTGGAAAAAACTTGGTATTAATTGTTATTAAGCTAATGAAATTTTTGTTAGAAACTAACAACGAAGCTTCAAACCTACTAGAGTATGGTTGGTGTCAAAATTTTCATCGAGTCATCTGCGTCGACCAACATTAACATTGAATCATAGATTACTAATTTAAAAATTTGGTAAGTCTTGTTGGACTTTTATATGCATAAAACAGATCAATGGTGCTTTCAAGCACCAAAGAATTAAATTCTATTTCAGCACCGTTCAGGACCACTTCATCTGGTCTCTCTAGTTTGCAATGAAAGCTGAAAAGGGCAAATCAAATTTTTGCATCAACTGTCCTAGGCCATCAATAAAAGCTACGACTTTGTTTAGGCAAAAAAAAAAAAAAAAGATTTTTTTTTTTGGATGCATTTGATGGAACCTGCAAGCTAACTAGTACAAATCTTTAGACTTTTTCAAATCATGAAATTCTTGCATTTCATACACTGTTTAGCCAAAATATTGAAATTTCTTGTTTAAAAAATTCTCTTGGAAAATGATGGATTATATGAGTTTCTATTACTACAAGGAATTCATTATGGTTAATTCCAAAAGTTTACGAATTCTAGTCGTTGATCATGACAAATTGACAATAGTCTTCCAAAAGCTTTGACATAGACCATAGGTTTTACTTGGGATATTTACTATTTTATAGTTTATACCGTTCGTTTTGAGTTTATAAAAATGATATACATGCAGTTTGGACATTCACAAATTCGTATTTTCAAAATCAACTGTTGACTAAGGCTTTGTTCGCTTTGCAGATTCAAGTTGAGATGCGACATTTTTTAAGAACTTTTAACTGTAGAAATCTAGAATTGAAAACTCGAATCGGTGAAATGAACGAGACCTAATAAAAGATACAAACTCGACGCGAATTTAAAATTTAAAGATGTAATCTTAAGAACATAGAAATACATAGTAAGATAAATTCAAAACAAAATATATATAATATTATATATATTTATTTGGGACTGACTTGAGACTATGCAACAAATTTTGTATCTTTTTCATGAAGGCCATAGAGTAGACTTTAGTCTCTTTGAATATGTTCTTGTTGTCTTATACCTTAAAAAGACAAGTGCGTGGATTAAAAGAAAAGAAGAGAGAAAAGGGAAAAGGAAAAGAGGGTATGAATTGTTGTGGAGGGAAATAATTTAATGCTAGGAACCTAACAAGTAAAACCCCCCCAAAAAGCAAGATGGGCTCCTTGCATTTGTGATTTGTCATCCAAAAGATTTAACAACATGAGGATGTCCTTGTCAAAAGAGGCACATGGAAATGACTCAAAGCAAGTGAGAGAGAAAAAGAAAGGCCCCATTCCAAGATATACATGAATAGGCCTTTTGGAAAAGCATCATAAAGCACTCTTATTAGTTAGGAAAAACCCTAATCCTTCTTACTCACCTATATTTATAGGTCTAAGAACCCAACTTGCCTTTATGCTAAATATGCATGAAACTCATCATACCCAATATTTAAGCATCTAAAGTCAATTACATATAGGGGTTCGCCATTTGTCAAAATCTTATTGGTTAGAGGAGCAAAATGGTCCCACTAATTTGTTTTCCCTTTCCTTGACCAACCCTAAGCTTCCAATGCTCATATGAAATCTGTCCATTTCTAGTGAGGTTGAGCCCATCTGATAATTTGAGTCTTAATTTAAAAAAATACCCCCCATAAGACTCTTTCTTTCCTTTATAATTACTCTTTACTTTTATAAAGAGTGTCTTGCTTGGAAGCATTGT